AATCTGAGAAACCATACATCAAGAGCAATATCTGCAGTAAAAAAAAATATCAATCAAAGAAAAAAATAATTTTTGATTACCGTGCAGAATTATGCCACGCGTCCGATAAAAGGACTTATTGAGCATTTCCAAAAAGTTTACATGAAACGAGATTTAAGAGAAAAACTGATACCTCAAACAAATTAATTTCTTAACACAAAAAAAAAAAAAAAAAAAAAAAAAAAAAAAAAAAAAAATATTGCTATGTTTTAAAACATTTTTAGTGTTTTAACTTAAAGATGCATAATATTTCTTCTCTTCTTTGTTTCTCTTAATTTAACTAATTCTTAAATACATAGCCTACTTTTCCACACCTTTATAACAATTTATGGAAAGCTCAAAAATTTATTCGGGGAATATTGAGGGAAGTACATTGAGTGGTAGTTGTATTTAGCGCAAAAATATTTTTTCTACATATTTCGGCCACTGGGATTTACATACTTTCAATCCTATTTTTTAAGGACATATGTACTATTCATTTTACTTTGTAATAGACTTATCTTTAAATTCACATTTGTACGTGGACTTTCGCTCGTATGTACTTTATACGAACTTGCGAACTCTTGGACTTCTTTTTAAATAACTATAGACACTTTGTTTCATTATTGTATATATTTAGACTTTTTCTAATTCTCTTTGACTATATAAAAACTTTACTGACTATTATAATTGATTCTAGGCAATATTTTAAAAATTCTAAGTTTCATCCTGATTTCATTGGTTTATTTTAAATTTTATATATTTAAAAATTTTCTCTTGATGTCTACATTCTTATATTTTTAACTGCATTTATCTGTATAATTTTTCAACTGTTTCTCTACACATTTCAAAATTGTACTACTGTTATAATTGTATATATGTTTCTTTGTACATATTCTCTAATGTAAAACTCTATATCATTATTCATGTAAAAAATTCTCAATAAATGCTCGCTGACCACCAAGCCACCTTCTTGGCTTGGTGTAGCAAACAGTAGATGGAGCATCTAGTGCCGAAAGTTGTAATGATGGTCCAGCTGCTCAATTGATGTTCTTCTGTATTTAGTGCAGGATTATACGTAGGTAAGTTGAAAAATAAGTTTCCCCTGTCGACTGTGGTCAGAGTTGTGTATGAAAGTCAAACAATAGAATGAGACATTAAAGGTATGACATACCTTTATTTTAGATCGGGTGTAGCAAGGAAGTTGGCTTTGGGTGTAGACCATGCGATGTTTGGTAAGTATGTAGTGCTGCCATCTAGTGCTGGTTATTTAAAAATAATATATTGTTACTCAGGTCCTTGTGTTATCTCATATATGGAAAATCTTGAAAAGTATTCGATTCTACTAAAGGCTTGTCTCTGAGACTTCAAATTCTTGTAAACCACATATTATCAACGTGTTTTGATACTTTATTCCGAATAAATTTTTTTTAATAAAAACTATTTGCAGTCTTAAAATTTTGTATTAATTTTAATGACCAAACTTTTTTTTATTAAAAACTTTGAAAATGTTTTATTACTTAACACCTTGGAGGATCTGTTTTATTTTTAGAAGATTTTAAAATTGTTTTTAATGCGATGTATTTAAGATCTTAAAATTTTGTATTAATTTATAATGACCTAACTTTTTATTAAACACTTGGAAAATGTTTTATTATTTTCAAGCCTTGGAGGAAGTATTTTAAATTTAGAAGATTTCGAATAAAAAATATAGCTATTGGTAATAAATGAAGCTTAAGATCCTCGATTTATATTCCGTTTTATGAAAGTTCAGTGACGGATCAAAATAATCATTTAAAATGAATCAAGACGAACATCAGAGTGAATCATTTATATTTCAAACATAGACAAAGTGATGCAGAGAATCATCAATATATGAAAATGCATTTTAATCTGTCAAATATTTTAATCTTTTTTTACTTGCAGTGTTTTACTCGAGAATAGGAAATGGAAACGCAAGTGCCAGAACTTTCAAGCCCGAAATTCATTTCTAGGTTATGTTTTAATTTCGTTTACATTTGGAAATAGTGAGTATTATTTTTATTTATTTAATGATAAGATTAAATAAATAAAAACCCTGAGGTGTTAGGTTGCAAATTGCTGATTTTAAAATAGAAATTTTTATACTTTATATTTATTATTTATTAAAATGAAGGACTAAATGACAATAACATAAAACGTGCTGGTAATATGAGTTCTTCTGTGAAATGTCTAATATGTCATCAAACAAAGTTCCCTCTAGATTCAGGACTCGGTTGCATAGAAAGTTAACTGGGACCGTCCCCTTAAGTGCTGCTTGTGTTAATACGAGTTCAACTGAACTTCGAGTTCAACTAATCAATTAAAATATCATGAGTTTCATAACATATTATTGTTTTTAAATGATTCATTTTTATTTGAGATTTTGTAGTTTGATAAGTTTGTAATTTTAATGTTTTTTTTTCCCTTGTTTCATTTTCATGTATGACTTTGTAGAACAAAGGAATCACAAAATAGAGTCTAAAAGAATTAGATCATTCATTTTTGTTTAAAAATTTCTTTTATTACCTGAGTTGTCAGATACTGCATCCTATTAAAATGCATAGCACTTGGATTTGAAAGAAATTTAGTATGCCAAACACATATTTAATTTAGGAAAGACTGCCTTTTTTAGAGAAAGTTTTGAAATAATGATAGTATATATTCGATTAGTTTCAGTAATACGAAAGTAAGTAAAGAAAAAATATTGTTACATTTCTAAATGACGTTCTAATAGATAAAAATGATGCCGCCAATTAGAAATTCGGATCACGGCGCAGGATTTTAGATCCGTCATGAAAACCGGTATTTAAACAGCATTTATTTATTGAGTTTGCATAATTACTTATTTTAGTCTGTATTTTCATAAACTTACATTCATTAAGATGATATTTACATTATTAAAGAAATTAAGAAAGCAAAATATCTTAAATTATAAGCTAATATATGATAAGGAGCAGAACTTCTGATGACCGGATAAAGCCGGTCATAACGCTCAGAGGGTTAAAATGATTAAAAACATACTCTCGAAGATAACAAACAGTTCTGTTTTGGTCTCACTACTCAAATTATATCATAGTTAGTTAGCTACCCAATTACAACGCCACATTCACCGTGCAGGAGACTCATCGTTCCTAATCACTTAATTCCAAATAGTTGTTTTGGATGTGATCGGCTTCGAGTATCTAGCTACAGAGCTGGAGGTACAGAGTTAGATAGAAAGCAAAACAGTCAAAGTCACATGCACCGTGGTGAATATCGCTATTAACATAGAACTATGTAGATTCCAAGCAATTGGTTAATAATGCAAGTTACAGATGGCGCCACGAGAACTGCAAGGTTCGAAACAAGGAGTGAAAACATCACCACCCAACAACAACGCTGCCGCAAAATTAATAACACAACTGCTATAGCAAAAAATTAGTTACTCTGAGAGAGAAAGACTTTGTCTCTCCAAATTCAGAAATTAATGTGAAACAGATGCTACTCCTCAGGGCCGGCGCGAGACATTTTGCCGCCCGGTGCAAACTCTGATGCCATCTAGTGCGATTGCACAGGTTTTGGCGACGCCACACGTATCTGGCGACAGCCCTATTACTACTACTGGATTTATGAAAGCTTGGCCAAAACTTTCACACGGGTCGTTAATAAGAATGAATTATTTCATCCAGAGTAGTGCAGTGCTAATGCGAATGTACTGTAATTAATCATTCGAACCCATCATGTTTCCCAATTCATCCATAAATAACTTTCAAATTTCATTTAAAATTCATTTTTAACATGTCTTGAAAGGATATGAAAGGAGAAGTGCCTAATGTTTTATTTAATGTTAACGTGTTTTACCGTGTGTTCTTATTATTAAAAATCTGATGTGTACACCACATGACTTCCTCGTACGGAATATTAAATTATACGCATTTTTTCTTGCATTTTATTTAAACTTATTAGATTGAATTAAACTTACTTCGCCGACAGCGCATAAACCACACTAGAATAAATGCATTCTTTAAAATTCATTTTGTTTATCATAGCGACACTCTGGCGCTAGGTTTACTTTATTATATTTCATTCATATTATAACTCAGAATGCACAAAATGTAAATCATTTAAAGAATTATCTAATCGTTGCCACATGTTCTATTGAAATACTATAATAAAGCTAGAACTATGTATAAAAGAAATTAAGCAAACAAAACAAAACAGAAACAGTTTTTCACAGACGATTGAGTATTTCTCATTTAATTCAGTTCTCACTTCGCGAGAAGGCAAAAATACATAAAAACTCAAAATATCTATATTAAAAATTACGAAGTAAATCTCAAACGCTTATTTCCTCGAAAAAATTCCAGAAAGAATTAAGCATGATTTAATTGGCAATAATAAATGAATGCGTTATCTTTGTTGTTGCGAAGCTAAGTTTCTCTAGATTGGCAACAATTCCACTAGTCTCCTGTTTCAAATGTAAACATCAATGGCCGCCATTAAAAAACAGGCTTAGCGGCAATTAAACAACTTTAAAATTGCTGATAATTCTAAAAATATTGCACACAGATTTACTAAAGGCATAAAATCCTTAATCGGAAGATAAAAACAACATAATTCAATCATTTTTAAAGCAAAAAAATGTACAATTTACAAACGTATAAGAGTAAAGAAACTGAGATCACTGAGCCGGGTAATAGAGTGGATATATATATAAATATATTTATATACGTTTGGTGCAGCCGATTGCAACCAAAATACGAGGTGCACATCTACATGTTATAGCAGTCCTATATACAAAATTTTTAAATAAAAAATACTATTCTGAGGCTACTCGTTTTTGAGTTATGCGAGATACGTACGTACGTACATACGTTCGTACAGACGCCACGAAAAATTCTCTTCAGAATTCATTTTAAAGCAGTTTTATAATTTTTTTGAAGGAAAAGCGTATTTTATTCTGTCCTTACGTACAGATATGACGCAAAAACATCGTTAAATTGCATTTGATAGCGGTCAAAATGGATATTTTCGTTGAAATATGCTGCCTGAAACTTTTCGCGATAACAATACTTCCTTTTTACTTCGTACAAGGAAGTAAAAATCGATCGAAACGTGTGTTCTTATGATTAAAAATGAGATTCAGTGTAATTTGTAGGAAAAAAAGATAGTCTCTCATCTCTCCGATTTTGCCGACTTCCGGGAGTGCATGACTTCTGTTTTCAGGTATCCTAGAATTCCAACTGAGGATACTACCAATAAGATGTAAATTTTGAGCGAAGTGCATATGTAATTGCTGTATGAGAAAGCTAAACAGTAACCAAGGGAGTCCCAGAGGTAAAACCCTGCAAATGCTGCCTCTTCATCTTTCTTGAAAAGAATCCCATAAAAAGCTGAAAAAAGATAATAAAATTAGAGAAGAATTAATAATGAGAACTATTTCGATGAGCAAAAAAGTTAACTAAATTTTGCAAAAGTATTTATATTAAATTCTGTCTTTGTTGTCTTTAGAACAATACCTCTCTGCATTTCTCATTTAAATATGAGAAATAAATGCACATCCATGTAAATTTATATATACAAACATAAAGTAAAATCTTCAAAGTAAATAAAAATATTGTCATGATGTTTTATTACCACATTATTTCCTTGTTTTGTCTAATAAGCTTTAAGATGAGTTCTTGATACTTTTACCATGACATTTAATCATTTTCATATTTCCAAAAATTGCATCATCATGATCACTTTATTGGCAATCATGATCACTTTATTGGTTTAAGTCCTCTGATAAAAAGCAAACCGATCAAAGTTAACTAAGTTTTCCAAAAACAATCTGTATTAATTTCTGTCTTTGTCTTCTTTAAAGCTACACCTCTCTGCGTTTAATCATTGATCCCAGCTACTGTACCACGTTTTAAATTCACCCTTGAAGTCTTTTAATTGAAGTGTGTTTAGCATCCTCTGTGATTTAGGCGGAACACTTCCTACAGGCTCAATGTCTTAAGTTTGAGGAATGAGCCGTTCGGCCAGTATAGCGGTTAGTGACCCTGACTGTTGTAGCGATGGGCCCAGGAATCCCGGAGAAGGCGTGCTTGTAACTGTCCGTCCCTTCCTAGAAGGCATAGGTGGTCACCTGTTAGGTGCTTCCATAATAAAATGGCCACCACTTCCAACCCTTGTAGTGGCGCAAGGCTAAAGCTAATAAATTAAACGTCAAGCATTAAAAAAAGATGTTTGAGTAATGAGGTTTGTAGCTACGAATACAAAGCATAGCAACAGTCTTCAAAATGAAGGTTTACATAATCTGCAAGAGCAAACAAGCCAAATGAGTACATGCATGTAATGTTACATGCACATGCAGTTAAACTGCTTATTTCACTATGATAACGCACAAAGCCACAGATTTCCAGAAAGAAAAAGAATTACAAGAATTTCCCAGAATCTTTCTCACCAGATTAGGCTCCATAAGATACTTTTTTTTATCACCAAGTCTAAAATCCTAAATGAAAGCTTGCTATTTTGATTCCATATGAAACATTCAGAAATCAGAAAGGGAAGTTATACTTATTTAAATTAAAATAGTTCCACAAAATATTCCCTTAGAGTATAATCTGCGGAAGCTAATACAGAGAGGATAGAGACATTTAATGTGGTTGAGGTTTTGAACTTAACTGGTCTACATCGATTTCGTTTTGAGCAGCCTAGTAAGTTTACTTCCGATCTTGGATTTACTATAGTTTGCTTATGAAAGGTGTTTAGCCTTATTTGGTATTTATAAGGTTATATTATAAGGTATTTTACTTTGTTTGTTTCCTAAGATCTGATGTTATTCTAAAAAATTAACAGAAACTTTGTTGTTTGTCACTAAGACTAAAAATCAAGTCAAAAATAGTACGAACCTTTGACCAGAAAATATTTTTATGTCAACAACTTTCAAAAGATTATTGACAAATGAGATATTTTTTAAGCCTTGTACAATATTTTCCATTTTTAATGAATTATATTCCTTACTTCCAAATTACAAATTCAGCAGTTCACCATATTATATCTTGCCATAGTGTATTCTGGGTTAGAGATTCAAGAAATTTCACTTTTAAGGTCTTTGTTCTGTTTCAACTACAAATTTATTTACAGTTCAACTTATATCTCTACTTTCTCTTGTTTTGTTTCGTTATTTCGTATTCATTATTTAGTTTATGAATTATTATGATAGTTTCATATATTTTAAATATGTAAATTATTCATTATAAACAGTCACAAGGCAGTCCGCGGCTGTTTAATAAATCATTAACTAGTACAAAAAAATTAATCAGTGAAGGCTATTGTATGGTATTATTATGCAAGGCGGGGAATATAAGGGCGCGTGGGAAATAACCCCTTGATCCCGCTTATGCTGTCCTAATTTAAGCTCAGATTTCGTTGTATTTGCATAAAATTCACGTAAAAGGTATCTTTTTACAAAATTTCGTTGTCGGGGAAAAAGAAAAAAAGAAAAGGGGAGAAATTGCCTATGCGTATAAAATCCTTTAAAAGAACGCACGATTTCATGTTGTATTTCACAAGAAAACTAATACATAAAAAGTTAAAAAAAGAAATTTTTAAGAATCATGAAGTTATCAATTTTTTTTCCTCTGTAGCTAATATGTGTTAACAAGCTTCACTGGTTGGTATTTTGGCTATTTCCACTCACGTGGGCTGTAAAATGTCACGAATTGCACAGAAAAAAACGGCGTTCTCTCTCTCTCTATATACATTTTGCATTGTTTGGCAGAAATCGCTTTTATTTTTCAGTCTGGATATTTAATGTACTCTAAGGTAGGTTATGCATGTAAGAACCCATATTATTTTACCATCTCATGTCTATAAGCTATATTCTGCCAGTAGAGACATAGTTTAGCACTTTTCGATTTCTGATAGACATTTAAAGCTCTGTGTATTTTCTCCGTCTGTCTTAATAAGTTACTGTATTAGAATTATATCTGACTCCATTTTTTATGTTACAATGATGCGTTTTGTTTCTGAGGTTTCTTGAGTATTTACATTATTGCATTTTTCCAACTTTTCGTGACTGTGTACTTAATTACTAATAAACTAAATTTAGATTTTCTTATTGATAGTTACCTCGTATTTGAGACCAAATAATCCCACTCAATATTCCCCACATAGCAGCAACAATGAAGAACATTTCGGGACGCGTTGAGTCAGGGTGCCATAGTAGAAGAATTATATTTGCTGCCACATTCACAGTCGCCGCTGTAAGAATGATGGTCATCCTCCCAACATACTTCACGAGCCAACCAGACAGCGTTGAAGAAACAGCACATGTGCAGCCATAGCAAATGGTCACCAACCCGACGTGGTACGTGCCCCATGCACATCCAATGTATGACTGAAAATAATGATTTAAAAAATATACGCTCATTAGCTTGCAAAAAGGATGATGATAATATAAATAGCAAATGTCCGAGAAGTCGTTTCTACAACTCTATATAGTGTGCAATATATTTTTGGAAGAAGAGTATATAATGCGAAAAACGTTTTAGAAAAGCTTTTGAAAGAATTGTTTGTCCGAAACAGTCCGATGTGCGGTAGTGCCCTAAAAATTATTTTCGCATTAGGGTAGCAGGGATTTCTGTCTCGCATCTATAAAAAATTTTTATCTCGCAAAATGCTGAAATTCATATACTCATATTTTATATTGAAATTGGTTAAGTAATATAACTTTTGCAAAATTCTTTACGCATGCCTTACACACCATGAACCTGCCCTTTCCCTAAGAATTCTGGAGGAGTTTTCCCTTTCCCTCTTTTTCTGTTGTTGCTTATGCTCAATTCTCTGACGTAGTCAGCCTAAGCTGACGAAATTCCTCGTGGCAAGGAGCACTAGATTACGCCTACCGTTGGCAACAGCCTTGAGCAACATCGAGGTGACAGTGTGATTTAGCTCAGTTCCGGCCCCCAATTTTGATGGAGAGCACCCCGGGTGGGGACGGTCTCCCACCCCACGGTCTCCCACCCCTTTCTTCTTCCACCGAACTACACGAGAGGACTTTCGGCTCACCGCATATTTAGAGTGCCGACACTATACAAGTATTTCGCAATTCAGTTTGCTCTTTTCCCATCGGATGTAATTTTTAAGCAAAATTTATGTAAAAGTTGAGCAGTAAAATAATTGTAAAACTGTGTACTTAATTCATACTAATTAATTTTTATACATTTGTTTATCTCTTTTATTAGATCACATTCCATGCATTATAATTAGAGATAGCGCAATTTGTCATATTGTTTCCAACATTTTTTCTTCCCGGGGATGCAGCAGAGCATTGTAGTGCTCAATAAGAAAAGATTCTTTTATGCAGTTTGATATTTACTGATACCATCGAAATCCGAAATTATGCGTCGAAATTCTGTCGATTTGCTATGTGGTTTCTTTTACCTGCATTTTAAAACAGTTCATGATATGCAGGATATTTTTAATTAGCGATTAGAATATAAACATTTAAACTTTAGTTCCCTGTTTGTATCTTTATAGCCTTGGTATATGTATTTTACATCTTTAAAAGAAAGAGAAACTTTAAAAATATTCACTGTTAGCGAATGAATAAAATACACACACATACTATTACAGTAAATGGTATATGTAAGTATAATTGTAACTCTTCAGTTCTTATAAATCTGTGTTGAAATCATTAAACATTATGAAGAAAAAAGTTAGAATGATAAAATTTGACATTTTAAAAAGTTTCTTTATGAGAAATTATAACAAATATAAGTAAAATATTATAAAATAAAGAAGTAAACGAAAAATTGAAAATAAGAAATAAATAAATAAGAAAAACCACTTTCTGCATTTAAAAATTAAAATTTTTATTAACCGAAGAGTAATACGATTTACCCTATTTAGCAACTTGCACCATAACATTGCATGATTGAATAACACTAATTAAATCGACTTAAAAATGAGAAGAAAAGAAAGGATTACGGCAAATTCATATTATAATTCATAATCCATTCCTTAATTATTCAAGATTTATAATTCATAATTAATTCTTTCATAACTCAAGACTTATGATTTATAATTCATTACCTCATATTCATGATTTATAACTCATTCCTTCATAATTCAAGATTTATGTCTTTAAGATTAGAAAAATTAATTATCCTCTATGTGACAAGTTAGTTTTACTCATTAAAGTTTCCTTCTTAAGCAAAAAATATCTTTACTAAGAAGAAATTCAAACGCTTTTAGATTAAGAGCAAAGCATTTCATTTCTCTAAAGGAAAAGGCAATTTCCCCCCTTCTCTAAGAACGTTTTATTTAAAAATAAAAAACCTCAAATAAAACTAAAAAATTTAATTTCTTTCAGTCGGAAGCAGTGACATCAGTTGGGAAAATGTTATTCGAAACCAAGGAGCTAACTTGAAAAACAACATTTTAATTAAATAAGTTGTTGAGATTTTTAGTTTACTTGGCTTGTTTTAAACAAGACAAGAAAAGTGAACTATGGAAAAATAGACTTTTATTTGGAAGTTAATTTCGAGCAAGATTTATTTTCTGCAGTTTTCCTTTGGTATTAATAAACATAAATCAAAGGTAAATTTTATAATTCTTCTTAGCACAGTCAAGTTGTTCTGATCAAAAGTTTTGCAGTTTTGCAAACTAATACTGCAATATGTGTTTTGCAGTTATTACTTGCAGCTCTTTTTTACACTAACAGGAGGAACTTTTAATATTTTTAAAATTTAAATTTAAAATTTTGAAAGGTTTCAACATATCAGTAAGTTCACATTACTTGAATACTTGAAGTTAATTTCTTCAAGAGTTTATTCTTTTACTGTATCAAAGCCGATACCTGTAATTAGATGAAAAGACTAAGTAAGGCTAAATATATTTTGTACGGGAAGGGCTAAAGTGAAGAGTGAAGAGAATGTACTTAAAAGATTTTGCATCAATTGTAAACATTGTGTTAAAAGTTAAGAATATTAAACAGAAAGCAAGTTGTACAGACATTAGGAATTTTTTGGAAGCAAGAGAGATGAAATAAATGCAATCGCCGGGAATCGAACCACAAAACTCTGAAATACTGGCTCAGTGTGCTAACAACTACACCACGAAGGCACGCTAGAAAAGCGGGAGAAATATCTTATAAAGTGAGAAATATCTTATGAAGTAAGAAATATTAAACAGCAAAAATAGCTGATAGTTTTTCCTTCAAAGGTAAACAGTAATTATATATTTTTTCATCTAAAGTAGGCACTGATGGAAATACACTCGTCACCTCTGCTCTTCGAAACTTCAGTAGCTCGAGGCAAAAGTTTTATTAAAATTTATTAGGCATGCCATTATTCTTTATGAAGCATAATTTATTCTACATTATACTTTAAATGTTGGTTAAAAATTAGAGAAATATATTTTGAAACATTAATTCTGATTATTAGCATAGTATTATAAAAATTAAGTCTTATTTAATGCTGATGTTATCTTACCTCCGTATAATCTCCAATGTAAAATGCTTGTTCCATCCCAATGTAAAATGATATAGGTATTAGGAAAGAACTTTCTTTTCTTTTCACAAATTTGAATGTAGCTGTCAACGTAGATAATGAAAATGGTTCTGGTTCCTTATTTGTTTCTAGACGGTCTAGGAAAAATAGTACCAGAAGGATACCAAATAATCCGAGGGTCACAGATATTCCGGTGAGAAGGTATCTCATTTCATTGCTTGGTTCCATAAATTTTTCTGGGTTTGAACCTTGCTTTAGATTGCAAAAAGCAGCACCGCACAGGAAACTGGTGTTGGATGTATTATTCTGAAATTCTGTGCTTTGTTTCAACACATAATATGACATAAGATTGCCCCAAATGTTAGCTGATTGGTATGCCAGTCCATGAAATCCAAAAAACCGGGCTGTTGTTGACTCCAATATTTTGGTTTTGTTTGGTGTTGTAACTATATTTCCAACGTGAGATGATTCACATTTGGGTTGTTGTTTTTGAAATTTGGCGATATCATATACATTGCCAGTATTTGTTGACGGGAAGACACTACCAGACTGGAAGTCTGAAACGCCTTTTAATTCAGAAAGATTAGCTTTAAACTTGGATGCACTGAATTTTGTACTTCCTAAATCATTTGATACGACATTTACTACTCTGCATTTATAATTATTTGACTCATTCGAGGTAAATATTTTTTCTTTTTGTTTGTTATTCACCTGCTGCATTTCATGCTTAATAGGGAAATGAGAAGTGTGTTTGCTACTTTTATCACTTTTTGGAAGATGCTGGCGTTTAAGGTTTTCTACTGAAACTCTTAAATAGCAGACATTATCGGAAGCATTGGTGGATGTTTCTTCTGAAGCTTGGCTTGTGGATTCAGTAAGATGAAGGCTATACATATAAGAGGATTCGTTGAAATATGTACATTGTGAAGACCAAAGCAAAGAAGCGCCTAATCCTACCGATATTGCTGAAGGAATCAAAGTAATCCAATGAGGATAGAAGTTAGCAGCAATATATGGCACATAGGAAATCATGGATATTAATATCGTTAACTTACACCCATATTTTGTGATGAAGTACTTGGGTAATAAAAGAGAGGATATACAGAAAGCAGCGTAAGTAACAGCTTGAGAAATGACACCAATGCCTTCGTCTTGATTCATGGTACTCTGAAGCATGCTAAGAGCATTGTACGCAGTGAAGAGTAGTACATAACCAAATGAAACGATCGAGACATTTTTTATAATTCTCAGTTTGCTTGGTATTTTAAGATTGTTGTCGATCAGTTCTGTACTTTTTACGCATTCCATTCCCAGCGAACTTCTGTTTTATTAATATAACAACGAATTTGCTCTTCAGTTTATCGCAGAATCAAACCTTGCCTAAAAAAGGAAAAAAATGGAAGTAATAAAAGTAATGTTTTTAGCAAAAGAGTTTTAACTGTGATGAATTATTAACTATTAACTTAGAGGTAAAACTTTAAAAACGAACTAAAACATTTTCTTCTTAGAATCAACAATATCTGAACTTTTTCAAGCTAAAATACCTATACACAAGCAGTTTAAAATGGGTGAAAATTTGAAATTCCATTTTTTATAAAGCGAAAGAGGTACATTTTTTCTCTGACCTTAGAAACTTCCTCATGATTTGTAACTGATGAATGTTATAAAATTATTATTGTGTTCGAAGAAAAACCGGATATGTTTACAAAGCATTTATTACAAAACACTAAAATAATTATTTTTAACTAGGTTTATTTTATCAGCGTTTAACATAATCCTTTTCTAGTTCAATATGCTTATGACAGTGCTTAATAAGAAAGTAGATACCAATAGAAACAAATCATTTTTTGCATCTTTCACAACCATTACCACTGACTGAACTACATTCTTCGTTCAGGAATTCTGTTTTATTGTAACCTACTGTCAAGTCCACTGATGATACGCTACGAAAATGCTTCATCATCAGGCTTCTACTGTTCTTTAATTTTTGAAGCATGAAGCGCTTGCGGATCCATCAAGGCAAAAGCCTCAAAAGGTGTTTCTTGAAATGCTATGTTGTACCTATGCCAGAACAAACATCTTGTATCTTGTGTACTATTATGTTGTTAAATGTTATTTTTTAATGTATATTTCTGACTTTTTAATGTATTATAGTGAGAACTATTTGAAAAATTTCTCATACAGTGATTTAATGTTTTCTACTATGCAGTTCTTTCGAGCTTAGATATATTAATGACTAGCACGAGAATTTTGCCATTATGTGGCTATGTGATGGTCTTTCAAATTCAGAGTAGTGTAAAATAAAAATGCCTTTAATGTTCTCAGTGTATTGAATTATTTAGTGTAAGAGACGAATTATGACGTATTTTTTATTTCTTATCCCCAACAGTGTTTAGTTTAATTGTGCATAATTCGAAATATACAATCATTGGTAAATTATTCATTAAAATGAATTTCTTAATCATAAAAAGAAGTCATGTGTACATCTATTAATCTTATTACTGTTTTACACTGGTTACTATCGAAATACATTAAACAAAAACATTGTATTTTTAAGCATAGTCTTTTTGTTTTGAATATTGATTTAATTTACAGTTACCAAATAATTTAGATTAAATTGCTTAAAAACAGAGCTAAATTGCTAATAATATATTTCTGTTAATTGTAATATGGCTTCCTTTCCTTTCCCGTTCTTTTTTAACTGCTGCCAAATTAACTGTAATTTTGAATTGATCGTGATTTTGGACTTAGTCTCTTATGCCCGTTAATTGAGGGCTAACAGTATATTTAAAACAATTATAAATAGTTTCTCCCATTAATGGACACCTGAGAGGGGTTTCATTCGTGTGAATGAATCAGTTTCAGTGTTAAATATTCTTATTACTGTCGAAATTGTAAGCAACCCGTATCAATAAAAATCTGAACGAAATATTTAATTCCTTGCTAAAAATGTAATCGTCGTTTTGCGATTCATTTTCGTGCAAACTGCACTCCATTATACTTATTTGCCTGATTTCTGTAAATTTTGGATCCTAAAGTGTTTCGGTTTTCCATATGTTTTCCATTTTTACTCTGAGTTCTTATATTGTAAACAACCGCCCTTTAGTTGACTTTTAAGCTTATTTTCTGTTTTAACTACTGTATGTATTTTTGAATCCTCAGTAAGATATTTCAGAATGAAATTTCATAATGCGATCTAAATTTACTTATATTTTCTAACAGAAAACACTACGTATTGATAAGTATACAAATATTTCTCTTTGGTACGAATATTAAATTACTACACAGCTTATCAAAATGGTTTCTCATACTTTTCTTAAATAAGTTTTTTCTCTAAAACCAAATTTTTGTTTAGTATATGCAATCACCTACAAATTAATTTCATCCCCACCCCTTGGAAAAGCAATGTTTAGTTTTCTAACTGTTATTAAGTAGCTTTTATTAAGATAAGATATTTATATTATCGATTATTTTTATATATGCATTTTAGAGTTGACATTAGAGGTAGCTGCGTAATTATCTGTTATATGAAAAAAAGGTTTACGATGTAACGATGTTTGAAAGAGGCCTTGAGAATTTTAGCAGGTCATAATGTAACTCCTAATATAAATACGTAAAATTTAATGATAATACATAAAAATAATATAAATACAGGAAAATACGTAAGATTTATTTTTCTCATGCATTTTGAAACCGGAAGGAAAATGAATTGAATACATCTGATGTAACGATTAAAATATTAACATTTATATTAAAACTATTAAAACAGGAACAATGAAACGTATAAATTTTCTTTTAAACTTTTTTACGTTTTTTTATTTAGCGTTTACAACTGTTTTCATGAGCCTTAAAGTCTTACAATTTTTTATTAGCTTGGAAGGCACATGTATACAAATCTGATTTCCTGTCAAAAATTACTGTGCCATTCCTGTCAATAAATTACTGTGCTACTTATTTTCTGTCAGTTTTAGACTTTGATTCGAAAATAGCTCAATTTAAGTATTAGCGAATTACTTGAAAAATGTTGGCTCGTCAAAACACTTGTAAAATTCGAAAATAGCTCAATTTAAGTATTAGCGAATTACTTGAAAAGTGTTGGCTCGTCAAAACACTTGTAAAATACTGATACATTAATGAAGCACAACACGTATTAGAAAATCAAGCTACAGAAACTTACCTCGCATGCTTCTTGCAACTTCTTCATATTCTAATGCCTACCTCTCTCTGTTCTAGTTATATCAAGATATTAAAATAACGTCAGACCTTTGGAACTTCTATCTCAGAGAATATATGTTGAGTAAGAATGGCGAAGAAAGGGGATTCGCCTGCCTCTGTCTTTAGAATAATTCCTGAACGTGATAAAGTATTAATCCTTTTCACGTTTAACTTTCCTGTCACAATATAAAGTATTTACGAGCTCCTGAAGGAGATAATCATAAGGAAGATTAATCTTTTCCAGTATAGTTGAGTTTCTACCGGTCTAATCTGAAGATTATCTTACTGGACATTGGATGCATTTATTCTTACCATAGTAAGTGAAAACGAAATTTTATGCATTCGGATAAAGGTGGCTGGAAGCTTTTCTTCTTTAAATGATGATTTCGTTCATCTGATCTATGTGCAGTGTTAACCTCCATGAAAACAGTTTAATCACTGTGTTTCATCAAAAAACCTTAATATACCTTAATATACCTTAAACGTATGCTTTTTTATAGGAATATTTTAATATATAGAGTTTTTTCTGTGCAGTGTTTTACTCAAGAAAAATTCCACCTAGTAAAATATTCATTTTCCTTTGATTAGTTCTCAAAGATATACTAAATTCGCACCTTTAATAATGAATGCGAGTTTATTATTCTGGATGGATACACTAATTACTAGAATGAGTAATTTATGTTTTGTAGCTGCTCCCTCAATTTGAAGGTCTAAAATTACATCGCTTGTAGCCATGAAAAGTTATTTAAGGCAGCAGATTCTTTCTTAAATATCGCTGTGAATATTTTATTTAAATAAAAATTAATAAATGAAAGCAAAAATATTAAACGTAATTTAAAAGACTTTGTGTTTTTAAATTTTTAAAGCGCATTAAATATTTTTTGATCCCCATGGTCAGGCTTTCATGTTACCTGAGATCTTAACAGCGTATGGAAAGCTTTCATAATATGCCATTCGATTCTGGACATAATATTAATTCGGAGAGGATATACATAGTAACTTAAAATTAAACGAAGAGAGAGATATATTAATCATTATAACCACGAACTTTAGAAGTCACAAAAGAATTCTTCAGGGCAATTTCTACTCACAATTATAACTTACTATTAATAACTGCTAAATGTCATTTTATCTTACAGAAAATGGTGGAGAACATAAGATAGAGTATATTTCTGTATATCTTCAAAATTGAGGTGGTAAAATCTCGTAAATGTTTTACATAGTTGAATGCAAAGAAATTCAATGTTTTGAAATAAGCATAAATTTGCATCTATGAATGATTTATAGTTATTGTTGTATAACAATATTTTTGATTCAAATATCAAGATCATGTTTCACGATTAAAAATTTTTTTCTGACATTTTTGTACTGCTATGATTTTAATATCGTTTTGTGATGTTATGCCTTATTAAAATTGAAAGTTTTACAATAAATGTTGTTATTATCTAAACTGTAAGGCCAGGCTGGACATGTAGTTTAAACCAATAATTTTTAGCACGGGAAGAGTTTCATGTACAATACTCATTTTTTTTTTTTTCGTTTCTCTTTCATTAAATTGCCCTAGTATATTGGTTGTAGCGGAACAGACATTAATTTATCTTCCTTAGTTAATTAGCTGTTCTTCATTACTCTATTTAATGATTGGCCTTGGTAACAATTGTCCGAATTCCTTCGGGAGACACTGGATGTGTAAAGTGTAAAGCCTCGACTTACGAGAACTTGAAGTTACACGGTTTCTTATTTTTTATTGATTTTTGTTTTTAATTAGTTTGCATTTTAAAATTGTCAATAATTAAGAAAATTTTGATAAGCAAAACAATGTCTTTTTACTGGAATAAGCTTTAAAGCTGTAATATGAATAAAAGCTTAATAATTTATGCTATGTAATCTAAAACTCCATACCTCTCTTCAAAAAGTGCAGTTGTGTTATAACTGGATTCACAGAGAATGCAGTTATTCTACATTAATGTTATTCTACATTGAATGTATCAATTATTTAATAAATGCGTAAACTATTGATTAAATTTAGACTTGTTTACTATAAATCACTGAAGGTCTGTAAGGATATTAACTGCTGCAACTATGAAGAATGCAGCAAATTCTTGTTGTTCATTTAGAATCCAATGACTAGATGATTTTATGATTGGTTTTATTAGCTCTAAATCCGCTTAAACTTCCTTAAAATCTTTATGAGAATACAGTTCAGAGAGAATTTAGAATCAGAATTTATTCTTAAATCCGATCCTCAAGCTCGGCTTAAAGTAATGGAAATCGCTATTAAATACATATGCGTATATAATTCTTTTCACTAGAAGTCCTTTATTTATTTAGAAAGTGAGTAGGCTAGTAACAGAAATCTAATTACAGCCCAGAGCTCATTATTATAAGAAAACACCATTTGAATGTTTAATTACAGCCTAAAATAGGTGTTTCAAGGAGAGCTACCCTTATCCACTTCATTCTTTTTACAATATAGCCCATCAGCGGCTGAGCGGTAAAGTCGCTGAACACTGGTAGTTCAGACCGAGGTTCGAATCCCGCGAACGGGCTGGCTGCATGGGTGTTTTCGTGGTTTTCCCCATGTGTAACGTGTATACGAGCCAGTTTCCCTTAGAAAGTCCTCCACGAAGGCATTCCTCCCCTTAGGCAGATAGCCCTAGTGTGCTTTGCCGTAATTAAATACACCACACCACACCACACCACACCACTTTTTATAATATAAAGTTCATTTTACTTTGTACGTGACGCTGTCATTTCGTCTGTTACTTATTTAAAACTTTCACATTGTTCTACGTCTTAAAATTAAGAATTAAAGTTAATGACATAAAACTGCAATAGTATATTACAGTAACAAGTGAACAAATTGACAGTTTCACTTATGCGTGAGTCGGATTTGCGCAATGCTTATGGGCTCCCACAAAATTTTCGTAAATATTATGGGGTCCTGTGGTCGCGACTGAAAAAAGTTTAAGAAGCCCTGGGTTAGGAAAATGGCTTTGAATTGCTTATTCCAAAGTAACGTGACTATAGTGAAAAAGATTACGTTTCTTCAGAACTTGTCATAGAAACATTTTTCATTTGGTTTTCTTTACAGATGGCAGCAAAATGAACAACAAGGTTGGCCTTGCATTTTTACTTCCTTGTACGAAGTAAAGGAAATATTGTAATCAAGAGAATTTACGGGTATCATATTCAACGAAAATATCTAGTTTGACCGCTATCGAATGCAATTTAAAGATGTTTTTGCTTGACATGTGCATGTAAGGACAGAATAAAAGACACCTTTTCCCCAAACGAATTATTAAACTGGTTTAAAATGGATTCAGAAGAGAGTTTTTTCGCATCTGTACGTTCGTATGTATGTATCTCGCATAATTCAAAAACGAGTAGCCACCGAAGGTGAAAATTTGTATGTAAGAGTGCTATAACATGTAGTCGTGCACCTCCCTTTTTGGTTGCAATCGCCTGAACCAAACGTATATAAATATACAGACTCAGCTACTCGGCTCTGTGAGCTCCGTTTTCCTTATTCTTATATGTTGGTAAATTGTGCATTTTTTGCTTTAAAATTGATTGAATTGTGTTATTCTTATCTTCCGGTTAAGATTTTTATGCCGTTAGTTAATCTGCATACAATAGTTGTAGAATATTTAACAATTTAAAAGTTGTTTAGGTGCAGCTAAGCCTAAATTTTTGTTTACCATAACGGCCATATTTGTTTACATCTGAAACTTAGTAGAATAGTCAACTGAATCAGATTCTGCACCTCCATTTTTTTTTTTTTTTTTTTTTTTTTTTTTTCTACCGAGTGGGACGAAAAGTAAACTTTCAGTTTTGTTCACCGAAAACTATGCCTTGTTTCTTGCTGGCCGAATTGCCTGTTTTTGCGTAGAAACTCTAACTTTAATTATACAGATTGTTTTTTTAATTGTTTTAACTGAACTGTTCTTGATGTTTTATTTTTCTATATTTTTCAATTTTAATGAAGATATTTTGAGACTTTATGTATTTTTGCCTTACCGCGAAGTGATAACTTAATTAATTGAATGAGAAATCTATCTCTAATGAAATTCGAGGAAATAAATTTAAATGAAATACAGCAAAAAATGGGTATAATTTAATATTCCGTACAAGGAAGTCATGTGGCGTCCGCATCAGACTTTTTCTTTTTGAAGACCAATCTGAGATTTGCTATTTAAAGCACCGTATATGGAATGAATGTGCAGTTTTCAAGCAGAACTTCTGTGTATTTATCTTGGGGTTAAATGGATCAAGGGGGAGATCAGTGCGACATTATTCTCAAAATACCTTATTTGCCCTGATTCTCTTTCTTCTCTGCACCTTTTAAACAGCATATTACCAGCAGCGACAAATTAGTAATCGAAATTCTATTTACTGTCAGTTCGCTTAGAAATAAGGAAATTGATATCCATTTTGTTTATGAGCGTACTCATTATGGATTCTACGGAAATGAAAGAGCTGATTTCTTAGATAAAGAGGCCTTAAATTTACCCTTAGCATTCTAAAGAGCTATTGAATTGATATCAATATTAGCATTCTAAACAGCTATTGAAAGTCCTTTCATCGTAAGAAGCTTTTAGCTAAGTGGAATGTGGAATATATTTCATGTTGTGATGCTGAGGGCATCAAAAAGTTCATTCCTTGTATTTACCATGGACTGTATTCTGAGTATTTCCTGTCTATTAATTTTAAAGTATCTCAGATTTTAGCCGATCGCAGTAAATTTGCAAGTTACCTTTTGGTTTCAATCTAAGATCAAATCATTTATGTGAATATTAAAAAAAAAAATACCTCAAAATGTGAAACATTCGACTTTTGCTACCTTTGATGGCTCTAGATTATGCTTGCAGAAAGACTGGAAAATGTTCGGCGTCACTTGGCCAATGAACTTATCTGTTTTCGTGAAGTTCAGACTGCAGTTTGTTCGCGCCTTATTTATGAATGTAATGTTTAACGTTTTAGCTAACTTACTTTTGTAAGCCCCGTGTTGTACTACATTTGTGGTGTATAGGGACATTTTATCAAAAATAAAATCTGCAGTTTTCATGATATACAGCTTAATGAACTTAATGAAAGTTACGTCAAGTTTTTCATACGGTTATTGGCGGTCAATTCACTTAATGTAAGAGGTTTAATATTTTCTTTGTAAAAATAAGAAGTCTTTCATGATTAAGAATTCTTTGAATTCCTCAAGAAATAAATGTACTGTTAAGGTGAAATTTTAAAAACTTTTCTTAAATTAACTTCTGTATTGTTTTCATTAATCATAAAAAGATTTTAGTATTTATCTT